ATACATTCCAGGGGAATGATATGGGATGTTTCTTGCTCTAGTATAGCCTCAGTATCAAACTGCCTGAACATGGCGTCGGCCTTGACATTTTTAGAGCCAGGTCTATAAGTGACAAGAAAATTAAAGCGAGAAAGAAATAGAGACCAACTAGCTTGTCTAGAAGATAATCGCTTGGCACCTCCTATGTAAGCCAGGTTTTTGTGATCAGTAATGATCAAAAGGGGGTCCTTGGAACCCTCTAAAATATGTTGCCGCTCCTTGAGAGCTAGAATAATGGCCAACAATTATGGGCAATATCGTAATTGCGCTCAGCAGGAGACAACTTTCTAGAAAAGTAACCACAAGGATTTAACAGAGTTTCATAGCTCTCATAGCTGGGAGAGAACTGCCCCTACCCCTGTCTCTGAAGCATCAACCTCCAGTATGAAAGGCTTACTGGTGTCAGGATGTATCAAATCGCTGTTTGAGAGTTTCAAAGGCGTCAATAGCCTCCTTAGACCATATCGTACTACTAGCCCCCTTGCGTGTCATATTGGTGATGGGGGCTATTACTGAAAAAAAATCCCTTTATAAATCTTCTGTAATAATTGGCGAAACCAATGAACCTTTGAATGGCTTTCAACCCAGTGGTTAAAGGCCACTGTAGAACAGACTGTAAAACAGTATTTTAGGATGCGTCTGAAACACCGAGGCAGAAATATTATATCCTAAAAACTGTACTTCAGACTGGTCAAAGATACATTTTTCCAATTTACAATAAAGTTGGTTTTTTAACAAGGTTTGCAGAACTTGTTTAACGTGATCGTGGTGAGACTGGAGATAAGGAAAATAAATAAGGATATCATCCAGATAGAGCAAGACAAACGAGTAAATCTAATCCCCGAGTACATCGTTAATGAAATCTTGGAAAACCGCTGGAGCATTGCACAACCCGAATGGCATCACTAGATATTCATAGTGTCCACTTCTGGTATTAAATGCAGTCTTCCACTTGTGGTTTTCCTTGATTCTCAGTAAATTGAAAGCGCTTCTAAGGTCAGGCTTAGGTAAACACTTTAGCGCCCTGGAGTCTGTCAAATAATTCAGCAATAAGAGGAATGGAGTAGGCGTTCTTAATGGTGATTTTGTTCAATGCCCTGTAATCGATACATGGGCGCAACTCACCATCCTTTTTAGATACAAAAAAGAATCCTGCACCAGCAGGCGAGGATGATTTTCGTATATGGCCTTTATTCAATGAATCTTTAATATATTCCTCCATTACACTACTCTCCTGAGGAGATAGAGCATAGACTGATCCCTTAGGTGGCATAGCGCCTGGTAGTAAGCTAATGGAACAGTCATATGGTCTGTGAGTCTTGCTGAATACTTCTTTAATGTCTTGGTATCGTATAGGGATCTCGGGATTTTGAGGTGTACTAGTGGGTAATTCAATAGTGCCCACTCTTTTGGTGACATGCAATATGCACATTTCATTACAATCCTTACCCCACTCTAATATTTCCCCATTAGCCCAGTCAATATGAGGGTTATGCTTGCTAAGCCATGGGAATCCTAATATGATAGGACAAGAAGGAGATGCAATCACCTGAAATGTAATCTCTTCCTTATGTAAGGCACCAATGGAAATATTAATGGGTAAGGTTTCATGCGTTATCAATGGTTGTGAGAGTGGTCTCCCATCAATAGCTTCAACAGCTAGGGTTGATAGTCTCTCCTTGATAGGTATAGTATTACCCTTGACAAATTGAATGTTGATGAAGTTTCCAGCAGCACCTGAATCCATCAGGGCTTTTCATGTAAAGTTTTTTTTATCAAAGGCTATAGAAATATCAAAGAGAAACCTATTTTTATTCTTTCCAGAGGACGTTTGCATTACACCTGTCCAAGACCTGTCCCCTTAAGGTGCTTAGGTGCGGTAGTTTTCCAGACGTATGGGACAATTGTTTCTCATATGTCCCTTCCTACCTCAGTATAGACATAGGCCTTTTCTCCGATATTGCCTTTCTGCGCCGACAGTCTAGTGACCCCCAACTGCATGGGTTCGGGTTCGGACTGTACAGGAATTTCAGGGACAATCTGTCTGGAGAAACGGGGTGCTAAATGCATACTCATGCGTCTGGTCTTGTTTCTAGTAGCCTCTCTGGTTCTCAATCTATTACCAATCTGCATGACAAAAGTGATAAATTCATTAAGCTCTTTGACGGCAATCTCATCTAGCATATTTTCAGATAGTCCCTTTTTAAATGCAGAGATAAACCCATTATTAGTCCAGTCTACCTTGGAAGGGTACGGCATATTCCGAGACAGACCGGTTCCCTTGTCTGATATGCATCAGGGCAGTAGAGGCGTCATCCTCTCTGCCTAAAGGTTCAAACGTAAGTTTGAATTCCGTAAGGAACTCCTGGTAATTGTGTGCCACCACTCCTATTACTCTCCCATAATGGATTGGCCCAAGCTAAAACTTTACCTTTTAGCTGATTCATTAGGTAACCAATTTTAGCTCTGTCTGTGGGAAAATATCCCGGTGAGGCCTCAAAATGATACTCCATTTGTTTAAGAAAGGAAATAGGGAGATAGTAGGTGCCTTGTGTACTATAGGTGGAGGTACATAAGGTGGAGGAGAGGCCGCAGGTTGCAGGTGCGCTGTTCGGGTAAGAAGTATACTGAACGCCTGGGCAAATTGATCCATGCGGTGATCATTGTCCAGTTTCCTTTCGCAAGCAGCTATGTGCTTACACAATTCTACAGGATCTATGGCCCTGTCGTAATGTCAGGATTACAGCATGTAGAATTGTGTAACACAGAGGACTGACAGGTAACGTATACCGGACCTTAGAATGGCCGGACTAAAGTACCAAAGAATAGTCAGGAATAGCCGAGGTCAAGAGACACAGAAAGAGACACAGCGATAAGGAAAAGCCAGGGGTCAGGGATGCCAGAAAACAGGGAAGTCAAAATCAATGCCAAAGTCAAATAACCAGAATCAATAATGCGCTCTCGGACAACCACAAGGGAAACCACAACAGGGCACTGAGCAAGAGGAGAACTGGGCCAAAATACCCCGCCTGTGGATCTGATTGGCTGTAACCGGCATGGATCTTTTCTCACACTGGACAAGTGTCTGCCAGCGGTTTATCCTCTTTAGCATAGGAAAGGTATAACCAGAGCTTGCATTTTCCTTGATGGACAGGTATCTGCAGAGCATCTATCTCTTCCCGCCTAAAGCGGGTATTCACTAAACATGCAACCCTTCTCACTTTGGACAGGTATCCGGAGAACATTTATTCCTTCACACCAATGACAGACATCCACAAAATATGCTTTGCTTCTTACCCAGGACAGATATCCACAGAGTGTGTCTCCCTCTTCATCATGTGCAAGTATCCACAAAGCATGCATGAAATTCTACACAGTACAGGTTTCTCATACATACACGCCTTCTCTCTTAGAACATGTATCTGCAGAAAGTACAAGACCAAGGGCAGGTATCTGCATAGAATGCATGTCTCCTACCCCAGGACAGGTATCTGCAGAGAATGCATGGCCCAGGACAGGTATCTGCAGAGAGTACATAGCCCAGGGCAGGTATCTGCAGAGAGTACATAGCCCAGGACAGGTATCTGCAGAGTGTACATAGCCCAGGACAGGTATCTGCAGATAGTACATAGCCCAGGACAGGTATCTGCAGAGAGTACATAGCCCAGGACAGGTATCTGCAGAGAATGCATGGCCCAGGAAAGGTATCTGCAGAGAATGCATGGCCCAGGACAGGTATCTGCAGAGAGTACATAGCCCAGGACAGGTATCTGCAGAGAATGCATGGCCCAGGACAGGTATCTGCAGAGAATGCATAGCCCAGGACAGGTATCTGCAGAGAGTACATAGCCCAGGACAGGTATCTGCAGAGAATGCATGGCCCAGGACAGGTATCTGCAGAGAATGCATGCCTCCTTCCCCATTGTGTGCTCTTCTTTTCACACTAACCCAGGATTTTCAGAGCATGAGTCCATTTTTACCATTCTTTGCATTACTTGCAAAGAGTGTATCCCTTCTCACCCAGGACAGGTATTTGCAGAACATGCATCCTTTCTCACCCAGGACAGTAATTGGTAGACCATGCATCCTTTCTAATTTATTTATTTATTTATAAAATATTTTACCAGGATGGATACATTGAGATTTTTCTCGTTTTCAAGTATGCCCTGGGTCTTTGTCCACAAAACATTGCATTGTTACAATAGGATACAATATTACAAAAATACAATATACAAACTATATATATATATATATATACACACATATATAAATGTAATACATAACAGGTAATAAATATATTCAACCATGACATGTGCATTCTTTGCTGAGGTATATTGCCACAGATCTCTTAAAAGATTTTAGATTGAGTGAAGATTTGACTGTGTCCCTGAGGTTATTCCATATTTGCGGTGCTTTGTAGGAAAAGGAGGGTCGAGCCACTTTATTTTGGTATTGCGATATGCTAAATATCATGCTAGTACTGGATCGGAGGTTATAGGAGGTAGGAACAGCCGGGGAGAGCATTCCACTCAGGTAGGGTGGGAGCTTTCCAGAAAAGCTCTTATGCACAAGACTGGAAAGATGAAGAGTGCGTCGAGATTCCAGCGACAGCCAGTTTAGCTCTTTTAACATGTCACAGTGGTGGGTAAAGTAATTACATTCTAGTACAAAGCGGCAGAACAAATTATATAACATATTAAGTTTATTAAGGTGAGTTTGCGTTGCGGGTGCATACACTACATCCCCATAATCAATGACTGGCTGACACGACACTCCTTAGTTGATTTGCCCTCGTTCAGTACTCACACTCACCACTATCAATGTTTGGCACTGTTCCTAATTTCTTTTCATTAGCACTTTACCTGGTCCTTGTTTAGCACCTATATAGTCTGATTTCTCCCCTCACTCCTGGTCAGATCATTGTCTCTTGTCTCCTGTTTCTTGTTCCGTTGTTCTGGTTCCTGAGATTCTGACTCTTCGCTCCTTGATCCTGTGTCCTGCGTTTCCTGATCCTATGTTCACGTGTCTTCTTGGTCATGTGTTTCCATGTCCTCCTGGTTCGGTGTTCCTGTGTCCTCCTGGTCCTGCGGTGCCATGTCCTCCGGGTCCTGCGTTCCTTTGCCTTCCGATCCTGTATTCTGATTCAGTGTTCCTGCCTCTACCTTATTTCCAGTGATTCTGACCCTGCTGCCTTATTTCGTTTGACCTGTTTTGGACTTTGTTCCCACCTATTTCTAGTGGTGGCTGCACAATCCTGCTCAAGTACTTTACTTACCAAAGGACTGTTTAAGTATACTCTGCCTGCACTAATTGTGGTTATCTTGATGGTTTATTTTTTTGTATATATTTATTATGTTTTGTTCTTATATGCTTTGGTTCTCTTTAATATATATTTCTTGATTTAATCCATTCATCGTGTCTTTGCATTATTTCTTTGCTAAATTGGTTCCCACATTTAAAGAGACAGTGCTGTTCCAGGGCAGCACCCCTTCATGTCATTACACCGGCATTAGCATTTGTTGCACTATCTGTTTCCTTACTGTAGGGTGTAGGGTGTAGGCAGGATTTGTTTCTGAATAGGGCACCTAGTTTTGGGTAAAGTTTTGAAGAGATTTTTTTTCAATGTGAAGGCCAAAAGATAGATTGGGGTCTAGCAACGTATCTAGATATTTAAAAGAGCAGACTGCTGTCAGTGTGCTTTTTAAATTTGTTCCAATTCACAATTGTTGATTTTGTAGTTTATTTAATTTAGGTACAGTTCCAAAGATCATTGTAACGCTGTTGTCAGTGTTTAGGAAAAGTTTTTTAGACGCTATCCACTTTACTACCTCTGTGAATTGGTTTTGGAGCACAGCCTCAAGCTTGGGTTTACTAGCGTAGGTTACAGTGTCGTTTGCATACATGTGTACAGTTGAGCATTTGCAGACGTTAGGCAGATCATTTATATATAATGTGAATAGCAGGGGGCCGAGTATGGAGCCTTGGGGAACACCACACGTGACTGCGAGAGGGAGGGAAGTGCTATCAGATATGGCCACATATTGCAATCGGTCTGAAACATACGATCGAAACCAGGTTAGCAGACGCTCACCAGCGCCTGAGTTGTAAGTTTTTGCAAAACTAATGCAGGACGGGTATTTGTAGAACATGCATCCTTTCTGACGCAGGACAGGTATTTGTAGAACATGCATCCTTTCTCACGCAGGACAAATATTTACACAGAATATTTCCCATCCACAGAATATGCATTCCTTCTCATAGTGAACAGGTATGCAAAGCATACATCCCACCTCACATTGGACTAGTATCCATATCATTTTGCTCCTTGAACAGGTATCCAAAGAACAGCTGTTTTAGATCAAACCAAGTGTTTGCTTGAGTATCTGCCTCCTGACCAGATTGCTTAAAATAGAATGCGTGCATGCTGAGTAAATCACACTGACACAAGTTCAGCTAAATGAAAAACTCCAGAATGTTTAATTAGAGGGGCGACAGGCACCTTATAAAGGCAGAAATACATCATATGCAAGATAACAGAGAGAATACATCTTTAATTGGTTAAGTGTCTTATCTAATGCACTTCCTCCAAAGTGTGATGTCACCATCATCTCAGGATTTCACTCCGGATGGAGACGCCATCTTGTTACACGAGGTGGTTAGTCGATGGGAGGGGGTGATCTAGCAGCCATTTTGAGTAAATACTGAATACAGGTATACAAAGCAAATAGACATTTTACCTAGATTAATTTCTATCCATAACACAGCATCCCTTCCTATTTTCTTTCTCATTTTGGACTGGTTGAGAATACATACATTCACACATGCAGGTATGCAGAGTGCATGCATTATTCTCACACTGGACAGGTATCTGCCAAGCTTGGCAGTTTGGGATATGGACTGTTTGGAGACCTTGGTCGCACTCCTTGATTCCAATGACTCCAATGATACCAATACCCCGACCACCCTACTTGCACCTAAGAGTCGCTTCACTCCACATCTGAAAGATTATAAGAATATTGAGGTCTTTTTGGATATGGTCTGTAGAGAAATTGAAAAAGTTGAAGCAGGAACTTTGAGTATAGAATCTACTAGCAATCTTACTAGAACAGAAAAACTAGCATTGAAACAACTAAAGGAAAATGATCAATTAGTAATTAAATCATCAGACAAGGGCGGCAACGTAGTCCTTATGGACCATTCTAAATATATTCAGATGGTACAACATTTATTAAATGATAAAGAGACCTACCAAGTATTAAATCATGATCCCACCGTACAATACTTTACAGAAATAAAAACTATGCTGAGCCAGGCCCTAGTAGAGAATCTTATTACCAAAAATGAATTTGAATTCATGCTAGTCAGACAACCAATACTCTCAACTTTTTTACCTAAAGTCCATAAATCCCTTGACAACCCGTCAGGCAGACCGATTGTATCGGGATGTGGAAATTTGACTCAGAACCTGAGTATATATTTGGATAAGATTTTGTCCCCTATTGTTTCAAAGTTACCATCATACATAAGAGATACGAAACAGATGTTGAATTTTCTGAAGGATGTTTCTATACCAGAACAAGCATTACTATGCAGTTTAGATGTAGAGTCACTGTATAGCTCTATACCTCATACACAGTGAATTAACAACATCAGAACTATCCTTGAACAAGAATTACAATATCCAGTCGCTTATATAGATCTTATCTCTAATATACTCAGAACAGTTCTAACAAAGAACATTTTTCTTTTTAACGGTACCATTTACCAGCAGATAAGGGGGACAGCGATGGGGACATCTTGTGCCCCCGCCTATGCAAACCTTTATTTAGGTACCTGGGAAAAAGATATAAGATCAGCCCCACATCTGAGTCAGTTCATAAGGATGATATCATGTTGGAAACGGTACATCGATGATGTACTAATTGTATGGGCAGGGAGCAAGAAAGACTTTGAAATGTTTGTAAGTCTCCTAAATTCGAATGATCTCAACCTAAGATTCACCAGTGAGACTGGTGGAAAACAACTCAACTTCTTAGACATAACTGTGACCATTCAGTCCGGAGGTGGAGTGTCAACAACTCTTTTCAAAAAACAAACTGCCACCATCAGTCTTCTTAACTGGCATAGCCATCACCCTCAGCCTCTCAAGGCAGGTATACCAATAGGACAGTACCTACGATTGAGGCATAATTGCTCCTCTATTGAGGATTTTAAAATTAAAGCCTGGGACCTTAGGCGAGCCTTCAAGGACAAGGGCTACCCCAATAGAGTTCTACGAAAAGCATACGCTAGAGCAATCAGTACTGCACGTGATTCACTTCTTACTGATGAAAAAGTACAAGGCCAGGATCAAAAATTGATCCGTTGCATTGCCACATATGATGCAGGTTGGGACTTTATGATGAGTGTATTGAAACGCTACTGGCAGATTTTGACGTCCGACCCACAAGTAAAACAGGTAGTCACTACATTCCCCTCTGTGACTGCACGAAGAGGAAAAAATCTACGTGACACGCTGGTACAGAGTCACCTAGCCCCTCTAAAAAGAGGGATTAACAACTACCTCCCCAAAGGGACTTATAGATGCGGGCGTTGTATTGCTTGTGAATTCATTGATAAAAAATCCAAGGAATTCACGGACAGTAATAACGAAAAAACCTTCCCTGTCCATTCATTCTTTAATTGTAGGACAGAGGGTGTCATCTATTTACTCACATGCTTGTGCGGCATTAAGTACGTGGGGAAAACCTTTAGACCCTTTAACCTAAGGATTAGGGAACACGTCAATTCGGTCAGAAGACCTTTGGAAATGTAACGATACCTTACCTGGGTCCGCCGATCCCGCGCGGCAAGACAGCTTCCCCGGCTACTTCCGGGAGGCGGCACAGCCTCTCGGACGCTGCCCGCTCGCGGCAAAATCCGTTTTATGACGCGGCGCATGCGCGCCGACGTCATAATGGTTTTGCCGCGAAAATTCTAACGCGGCCACGCTCCCGAACCTTTTGGGGGCGTGGCTTTAAAGTGACACACACATTAGTATAAAAGGGCATTCCTGTCCACACCTCAGTGCCCTAGTGTGGTTCTTGATTGTTCCCCTAGTGCTCTTTTACTGTTTTGCTGTTTTTCTGGTATTTTGACTCTTGGCTTTCGTTCTGACTATTCTCCTATCTGGCTCCCTGACTTTTGGCTTGGTTTTTTCGTATATCCCGATTTCCGTACTCCTTTGACCCTCGGCTTTTTCTTGACTATTCTTTGACGTTAAGTCCGGCCACCCTAAGGTCCGGTATACGTCCCTTTCAGGGTTACCATCTGTGTGAAGGGGTCACTATCGTGACATTACACTAGGGCCATGGACCCTGCAGGTGCTAATCCTCATGGCCCGGTTCCTGATAATCGGTTTGAGGAGCTGGACCATCGTATGGACCAGTTTGCTGTAGCCGTTCAGACCCTGTTAGCTCGGACTGCACATCTACAGCCAGAGGACCATATTCCGGGTCTTAGACCTCAGGAACCTCATTTGGAGATGGCGACAGGGGGTGCTTCTGCCCATGCCACATCCCCTCTCCGTTACGGAGGTGATCCCAAGGGTTGTCGGGGTTTCCTCAATCAAATAAGTATTAACTTTGAACTTCATCCTAGGGCATATCCTACTGATAGAGCTAAGATTGGTTATATTATAACATTGTTAGTCGATAGAGCACTAGTTTGGGCTAATCCATTGTGGGAAAACGACAATCCCATAGTTTTCAACTACGCAGAGTTTGTCGCAGCCTTTAGAAGAACATTTGATCCCCCTGGGAGACGTACCAATGCTGCTAAAACCCTCTTACGAATGAAACAAGGGTCTCGTTCCCTTGTGGACTATGCTCTAGAATTTCGCACTCATGCTGCAGAGGTCAGATGGAATGAGCAGGCCTTTGTAGATGTGTTTATGAACGGACTTTCTGACAAACTTTTAGATGAGGTAGCCACCCGAGATCTCCCTAATGTGTTGGAAGAATTAATTACATATCTAGCACATATAGACGAACGTCTCAGACTTAGACAAAACACCAGGGATAGACCTAGGCGTATGCCAGAACGCCTGGCATTAACGTTTCCTTCATCTGAGGAAACCTCTGTCGCTCCAGTAGAACCCATGCAACTGGGAGCCACACGGTTGTCTGAACCTGAGAGACAATATAGACGAAGGGAGGGAAAAGAGGA